GGGGAAAAATCCCCGATTCCCCGTTGGGGATCCCCGATTCCCCGTGGGGATGGGGATGGGGATGTAATCACATTCCCCAGCGGGGATGGGGACGGGGATGGGGATGGGGAGTGGGGATCAGGGACGGGGATGGGAAGTGCAATCCCCGATGCCCCCGGCCCCGTTGCCATCCCTAGTGTCAAACCTAAGGAAATGCCTTGCTGATCCTAGTATGGCAATACCACTTCCGGAGATTAAGTTGGATGAAAAACTGAATTTTGTGGGAACTCCAAAAGCTATAACTGACCACAAAACCTGTGTTTTGAGAAACAAGGAAATAAGTCTAGTAAGGGTACAGTGGCGATTTCACAAAGGTTCAGAAGCAACAAGGGAATTAGAATCAGAAATGAAAGAAATGTATCCATGGTTATTTGAATGAATTCCGGGACGGAATTCTTTTAAGGGGGAGAGAATGTTATAACCGGGTTTCAGATAACATGGGTCAAGGTAAATTTTATGTGATTATTTGATAAATTATATGATGGTATGCGTGAATGTGGCAGGTAATTCCAGTTATAATATTAATAAGGGAAAAAGCATTATATGATTACTTCCCTTATGTGCTTAAATGTTGAAGACCATATCTAGATGTATTTTGGAGGAAAGCAATGCTAGTTTACAAATGCATGTATTTTGGAATTATAAAGTTATGCAATTTGTATTGCAAACCTGTAGCACAGACTCTTGTAATTTTGGACCTATGTGGGAATCTATGTATTATATGAATGAATTCTATGTAATAGGCAATGTGTGGAGACTGGGGTGTCACATTCCTATACCCTTAACCATTTTCTCATACATCTTTCTCCTCGTCTTTGCAACCAGAGCCTCTGGATTCATTGTTTTGGAACCAGAGCCCCTAATGTATATCCATTTACATACTTAGCCATATTTCATACATCGTTCTATCATCCTTCACAACCAGAGCCTCTGGTTGTATAGACCAGAGACTCTGGTCACCACAATCATACTTATTATTGGTTCTAGGGGGAGTTTTTTTTTTTAAAAAACTCAACCAATATACATGCATCATTTGAGGGGGATCTATTCATTCATCATGAATATCCATTGCATAAATATGCATTTATCATACCAGAGCCTCTGGTTCCACTATCCAGAGCCTCTGGCCATCTAAATGTTACATAATAAACCAGGTATCAAACCAAAGCCCCTCTGGTCCTACATAATGGATCGAATATGCTTAAACAGAGCCTATGGTTTGTCATCCAAGGCTTCTTAATCATGCAATCTGATAGGTGTTGAGAATTCAACACATAATGCATCTGTTTTACGTCTTTTTAGTTTAAATTAGTTATCTTTCATTCCCACTTTGAGTCATTTTTATTTATTTCTCTTTTATTTTGTTATGGAGCTAAAATATTGTGGTTTAACTTGTTGGGGCATGAAAATATAAGCTAACGGATAATTTTCTGTAAAACAGCCTAATGCTACA